TCTATGATGTCTTCCCTCAACAATTCTTCAATTTTATTGGTTATTTCAGTGTGTCCTCCTTTTTTTGGGTATTGTTTTGTAAAGCTATATTTAATTTTAGGGAGTACTATGGGGTCCATCAGTAATGAAGCTAGATGTGCCTGAGACTTAGTCATAATATTTTAAAACTTTTTGTAAGTTATCCATGATGGGAAAATTCTGGGTATAAGATCCATCCCTAGAACCTTAAAAGGTATTTCATCTAAAAGTATCTTGGTTTTAAAGACTTCTCTGTCCCATAAAAGGATAGTTATATTTTCCATTTTGTATTAATGTCTATATTCTCTACTCCTATTAAATGATACCCCCAAAATAGTTACTTGGCTTCCTATATCTATTAGGAATTTATGTGTTTCTATTTTTCCTGTTTTTTTTTCTGTGAGTATTAAGGGTAAATCTATATATATTCTATTATCCCCAGGCTGTTCCAATATAAAAAATACTGTCTTGACTCCTGAGTTTCCCTGCTGTTGAATGTCATGTTCCTGTTGTAAATTGGTGTATTTGTATGTCTGAAGTTGCTGTTGTGTTTGGGGAAGTTGTTGTTTTGTGTCCTTTGTCTGTTGTTTGATGTGGGTCATCTGTTCGAAGGGAATCTGTCTCCTGACTGGGATTTCTGTCCTAAATGGTGTACTGCTTCTGGGCCTCCTGGGTATGGAACTCCTCCCTCATAGGGCCCTTTGTCTGGGAGGCTCCGTATTTACCCAAGGCTGCCTTTGCTCTCTGTTGTAAGAAATCTAATTTTGTTTTGTGAGGACTGAGCTGGAAAACTGAACTGGTGTGGTGAGGGCTGAGTTGGGAAAGAAAAAGATCTGACACCATCCAGCTCATTGACTTCTTTAAAAGAAGTAACTACATCTTGTAATATATGCTTGCCTTCGAGTGCTGATGTTAAAAGTTAGTCTGAGATGAGGTGGACCACCTCTAATTATTAGTCTTTTCATCTGAGGTAACAGCTCTGCCTGTGATGGCGTGTTACATGTGTGTATATTGTATATCATAAAGTATATTCTTAATTTCCTAGTTAATTTAATAGCCTGTTGGTGTGTAGTCCATTGTATCTGTGATTCAAAACTGCCTACATCCATCACAGGAAATGCCCTCACCCATGCTAATGCTACCCATTCCAGGATAGTGTGTTCCTGCAATCTTTTCTCACTAGTGTCAGCCACTAAAGCCTCATATATAGATTCATTTTCTACTATAGAGGTTATTATATGCATTTCACCTCCATTAACTCTAATTGCGTGGGCTCCATGCTCCAAAAGTCTTAGTAGAGATTCTACATCTTGCTCCCCATCTGGGCAAATTCATTCCTTAACTGATGCAGCTCTATTCTACTAAAAGTTCTCACTTCAACTTCCTCTTCATTATCAGTATCTTTTGACGCCTTTTTCCTTGGTGTTCTGGTCATTTTTCGTGTAGTTACCGGTAAAACTTCCCGATTATCTGGGTGAGTTTTCTGCCTATCCAGGGCCTTTCTTACTAAGGTTTCACCTTTTGTCCTGTCTTCATCTGTCATTAATAGTTTTAACTAGCAATCCCGGGATTTCTTTTGAAGTGGCTCTAGCAATGATTGGCTGAACTACCTCTGGGTGGGTGTGGGAGGCCAACCTTACGGGTGACTGAGTTACACTCCCCAGCTGGGTGCTGAGGTGCTCAGTCACAGAAATGGGTGTGTCTTGCTACAGCCCCATGGGTGAAGCTATGCTCACCTGTTCCTTTGTAATATAACCCCTTGCCCTGTTTAGGATAGAATCTTCCATGGAAGTGCCTTGTGTGTGTCCCCTCCTCTTACTGTGCCCTTGGGTGTGGCCTACCCAGGTGTCAGTCAACCTGCTGACAGTGGACATCATGAAGATAGACTCAGCCCCCTGAAACCTAACCCCTTGCCTCATTTGAATAGCTTCTCCTCAATAAAAGGGGTCAGCGCGTGCTCTCTCTCTCTCTCTCTTTCTGCAGACCCTTAAGGTCAGAGGAGCCATCACAGCAACCCCAAAGAAAAAGGTATTTGTGTCTCTTGTGTGGTTATTTCGTGCAGCCCAGTTAGCCTAGTTTAACTAGAGTGACCCCTGAGCCTTTTAGTCGCGAGAACAGAAACCTGGCAGGTGGGATGGAGGATATCAATTCCTTTAGTTACCTTGTTAAATCCTGGCAGTTTCCCTTGCACTGTTCTTTCTAATTCTCTACAGGGACTAGCAGAACTAAGTTCCTGGTTACTTTATTTCTTTTTAAAGATGTTATTGAATTTCCTCATTTTGCCAATATGCTGTAGACTAATTTAATATACTTTTCTCTACAAAACCACACAAAAGATGTATCTGTCTCTATATGCTGTAGTGCTTTTGCTTGTATGTGGTGCTGAGGATCGAACCCGGGCCGCACGCATGCCAGGCAAGCGCGCTACCGCTTGAGCCACATCCCCAGCCCGCTGTAGTGCTTTTGCAATTTGATTTTCTAGGTGTCTGTGTAAGCACTTCTCTATCCAGTTCCTGTGTTATTGAATGTATCTGTCTAGGAAGCAGATTGTGTAATTTGCTATATGATGGTGTATCTGTGTGGTATTATTACCAATTTGATATATGTCTTTGCAGAAGGTGTAATGTCCTGTTAGGTTTATTGCTATGATTACCAATGTAAGTATTATAACAAGTTTCACTGTGTTTAGAAAAAGCTTCTGAATTTTATATGTGGTTGTCACACAGGCAGGACAAGACATTTCTCCCAGACATTTTGTTTCCTTGACTGCCGACTAAGCCAACTGTCGCTATGGCAAAAGGTGCGGCTTATGTAGACAAGGGGGAGAAATAAAGAATGTCCACACACTTCCGCCTTTGTCAATGCTTTATTCTCTCAAATCACTCAATACAATTTCACTCTATAGATTCTTAATCAAGGAAATGACAACCCTTAATGCTAGGCACTGCAATAGACATAATCAATTCACAGCAAATAACTCTATATTAATTCTAACCACTGCAAACACACTTAATCATGACAGGCTCATGACAGACATTCCCTCTGCGTGCTAAGCTCAAGTGTCAGGTCATAAGTCTCAAGCCTTAGGCTCTAAGTCCAGCAGATGCACACTCACTCAGACCATGGTGATCAGATCAGGAACCAAGGCAGGCTTCTCCTGGGGTGGAGCTGAGGCTGGCTGAGGAGGTGGTCATAGGGAAAAGTCCTCTTCTCACCAGAGTCAAGAGGCTGCTGTAGAGTTTGAGAGCGGGGAGAGCAATGCAGAAGGGATCAGGCAGATGAGAAGAGTTGGGATGTCAGTCCAGGTCTTCATCAGGCTCTCAGGCTTGTGTGTATCAGTGTTGGCTGGCTGAATGTCTGTTCATCTGCTCCATCATTATACTAAATTTTGGGGCTTCTGACCACCCTTTTCAATCCCTATCAGCTGCTATCATTCATCCTCAGGTTAAAGCATCTGGTCTGGTGGTCTCCACCCTGATTTTCTTGCCTTTCTCCCTTATCAGGGTGAGGACAACATGCCAGAGACTTCACTCTGAGTTTGTCAGGGTGGGGAGAAGTGATTTGTTTGTGTCTGAGGGCCATACTGGAAGGCTCCATGAGGCATGGCTGGTCAGACTGCAGGTTTGCAATCTGGAGTTTTAAAATGGAGTTGCTTAGGCTCGGGCCTAAGGCCATCCTCACAAAAATGAATATTTTGTTAGTGAAAACTGTACTTTTAGTACAGTAAGGAAAATAAGTCTATTTTACATCTTTTGAGTTTGGGAACTAGCTTCTAAGCTACCATGTCAGGTAAAAAACCAAGGAAAGACATTCCACCAGGGCCTCCCTGGACAAGCTAAAAATATTTTTTTTGTGGGAGGCCACCCCTCAGCTATTATAGATAGCATCTTCACTCAGCCTTGATCCAAGAAGGTTGTGATCTGGCATTGCCCTGGGGCTCCTCCCACTCTGCCCAATGCAGGTGATCACTGCCTTCCCTTGGCTAGGAAGTCTGCTTTCTCATAGCTTTCTCCAGACTTTCTCTGCCTGATTTGGTGAAGAATATTCTATGGAAAAGCCTTTTGTGTATCCCCCATATAAAAATAAACCACACGTAGGGCTGGGGTTGTGGCTCAGCAATAGAGTGCTCACCTAGCATGTGCGAGGCCCTGGGTTTGATCCTCAGCATCACATAAAAACAAATAAAGGTATTGTGTCCAACTACAACTAAAAAAATAAATAAATTTTAAATAAATAAATAAATAAATAAATCAACCAACCAACCGTGGGCTCATGCTCTCTCTCTTGCTTATAAGGTCAAAGAGCTGCCTTGCCCCGCTTTATAAAAAATTACTTCCATGTCGTGTGGTCTTTTCGCTGCCAGCCTTTCCACTGCCCAGGAGGGACATGGGGGGGAGTTTTAAAAAGAAAGTTAACTAACACAGTTGTCAATTATCACTGAGGACATATCACAGAGGCTTCCTTTACTTTCCTGAACCATAATATAATCCAAGAACATCTCTTGCTCTAAGTATTATGCGCTGTGATTCTAACTGTGGTACCTTCTGATATGAACTTTTCATATTATACTTTTATTTTTCCATAATGAGCACTATCTCTATTATCTCCTCATGAGAGTAGTCCAAATGAATCTCTCCCCTTTCATATGCAAGTTCTCTTCCTTTCTCTGTATGTATACCCTTCACTGTATCCACATTTGGTTGAAAAGACTCATGAATGCTCTGTGATCTTGAACACAAAGCCTTTCTCTAACAAAGGTGGAGCTGATATGTTGGAAGCTCACTGCCTGGAAAACATAAGTCACTTTGTTTTCTAAGAAATAAAAAAATTTTACATACACATATCTACCACTCTGTAGCTACCTATTTCTAAACCATAGAGTACTGATATACAGCTGATGTCATATCCATATCCTAAAAACTAACTATCCACAACAGATTCCAACAGGCTGAGAGTCTGGTTATGGCTTCAGGGAAACGTACCAGTATAAATGACCAGGCCAAAACACCAATCTGTATTCCTGATGATGCAGCCGCGGAGCAGCAGCTTGTCATGGTCCAGGGGGTAGCTTTTCCTCTTATAGGTCAGGATTCCTGTGAATTTATCTAACTTGTTATTGGGAGGATCACACTTCACTTCTCCTGCAGAAAAACAAAGGAGTGAAATTTCTGGCTCTGTAATATTTAGGTTTTCCTAACAGGATGGAAGGAGACACAACAGAAAAGTAGAAAGAAAACTCATGACATTTTTTTCCTATTCTGTCTCAGCTGCTCCCTATTTCTTACCAGCTCCCTTCAGAAAAGCAAATAAAGGTTTCTGGACATCAAAGAAAAATAATTACGTATGTGACATGGATCATCAAGAGAGGAAAACTCACATAACTTATTATCATCAGTACTGCCAGATCAGTTGATCTCTAAATGTGAAGAAACGAAAAAAAATACTTAAAGAAAACCTAGTATTTTTTTCAAAATGGAAATAATTTAACATCTTCCTGATTAGTACATATATCTTTTGTAAGTATTTATGCTATACTTAAAATGATAAGGTAAAATCTATCCATTGTTTAGAGAAAAGTGCTATTAACCTTTTGAAGAATATCTTTTCAAGTTTTTTCCCCTATACATCAAACATTCATGTTTCCACAAATAGGTTTATGTTACATATACTATGCAGTCTTTCATTACATGCATTTTTTCTCCTACTAATATGGCATAACTATTTTTCTATGTCAATAAATATCAACTTGTGGGCTGGGGATGTGGTTTAGTGGTAGAGTACTTGCTGAGCATGCGTCGTAAGGCCCTGGGTTCAATTCCCAGCAATGCAAAATAAACAAACATCAACTTGCATATTGTCTGTAATGACTTGAGTAGAATTCCCTGTATGGATGTGTTGTATTTTATTTAGCCAGTCCTCTCCTGATGAAAGTTTGGGTGGGTAAACCTATTTCCTAACTTACCATCAAAGACAGAAAGCAGCTCTAGATTATCTTCCAGGTCACTGGTACTGGTGATGGCCTGCTTCACTTTTAAGTTGGTTTCACTAAAGTAAAGGACACAGGATCACTAGACTATAGGATATAAACACAGAAGCAGCACAGGACCATTTTTCCTACTTCTTCAAAGGGTTTTGAAAAATAGATGTTGCCAACAGAGTTTGGGCTAAGGGTTTGAGCTGTAGGAGTCCCTTGCACTGTTCCCTACTCTTGCGGGCAGTATTGAGTGAGACAACTTTGCAAGGAAGCAGAGTGCTAACCCACTCATTCCCCTCTCCCCCCAGCAACATGTCATCACTACTTAAACCAACCCAGGAGATCTAGCTGGCCAGATGATCTAGACAAGTGGAAGAGACATCACCAAGCAACTTGGAGGTGGCACCTGCTCCCTTCAAGAAAAAAGAGTGGATTTTGGTAGGAGCCTGCACAAACCTCTGAGGAAACATACTCCTGACCTCATAAGTATGCATAGGGCCCCACAAAGAAGTCCCAATAACCATTTGCTGACACAGGAATATACAAAGACAGAAGAAAAAATAGAAGCCACATTTCAAAAAGTTTGTGGAGGGACAATGAGATAGTCACAAGAAAAAGAAAAAGCTGATAAACACAAATCTCCATAAGACAAGATCTCTACAGATGGCCCCTATCCTCCTAGACTTTAGCTCTTGTACATTAGTGAATTTCTACTGCAAAGACTCACAGAACATGGCATTTTACTGGTAAATAATTACTTCCACATTCATTTTTTTTCCCCCTGGAAACTTTGGAACTCTCTTCTGAAAATTTATAGTTCTATCTAGGGTATAAAAGGAGCTCAATAAGATAAGCACCAAAAAAAAAAAAAAAAAATCCAATCAATAAATGGGCCAAGGACCTGAACAGACACTTCTCAGAAGAGGATAAACAATCGATCAACAAATATATGAAAAAATGCTCATCATCTCTAGCAATCAGAGAAATGCAAATTAAAACTACGCTAAGATACCATCTCACTCCATTAAGAATGGCAGCCATTATGAAGATAAACAACAAGTGCTGGCAAAGATGCGGGGGGGGGGGAAAGGTACGCTCATACACTGCTGGTGGGACTGAAAATTGGTGCAGCCAATTTGGAAAGCAGTATGGAGATTCCTTGGAAAGCTGGGAATGGAACCTCCATTTGATCCAGCTATTCCTCTTCTCAGACTATACCCAAAGTACCTAAAAACAGCATACTATAGGGACACAGCCACATCAATGTTTATAGCAGCCCAATTCACAATAGCTACACTGTGGAGCCAACCTAGATGTCTTTCAGTGGGGGAATGGATAAAAAAATGTGGCATTTATACATAATGGAATATTACTCAGCAATAAAAAAGAATAAGATCATGGCATTTGCAGGGAAATGGATGGTATTAGAGAAGATTGTGCTAAGTGAAGTTAGCCAATCCCCCAAAAACAAATGCTGAATGTCTTCTCTGATATAAGGGGGGTGACTCAAAATGGGGTTGGGAGGGAGGGCAAGGGAGGAAGATTACCTCTAGATAGCGAATAGGGGTGGGAGGGAAAGGAAGGGAGAAGGGGAATAGCATGGATGGTGAAAGGAGACCCTCATCATTATACAAAATACATGTATGAAGATGTGAATTTGGGTCAACATACCTTATATACAATCAGAGATATGATAAATTGTGGTATAAAGGTGTATTAGAATTTTAATGCAAAAAATAATAATTAGAGAGCTCATGTATAATGGCATAATTTGGGGTGGACATACTTTATATACAGAGTTACACAAAAAATGGTGTTGTGAATGGATAATTATGATTGTAATGCATTCCACTATTGTCATGTAAGAAATAAAAAAAGAAATAAATAAAATTTTAAAATATTTAAAAAAGAGAAAATGTATAGTTCTATTAACCTCTTTCCTGCTACTTAGCATTATGAAATACAGCTGTCCCTCAATATCTTCAGGGGATTGATTCCAGGATCCCCCAAAGATACCCAAATCCTCAAGTCCCTTATATAAAATGATAGAATATTTGCATATAACCTTGCACACACTCCATACTTAAAATAATCTCTAGATTGCTTATAATTCTTTTTTTTTTCTTTTTTGGCACTGATGATTGAACCCACAAGCACTTAACCATTGAACTACATCCCCAGTCCTTTCTATTATTTTTATTTTGAGATGGGTCTTACTAAATTGCTTAGGGCCTTGCTAAGTTGCTGAGGCTAACCTGGAACTTGCAATCTTCCTGCCTCAGTCTCCTCAATTGCTGGGATTACAGGAGTGTGCCACTATGTCTGGCTAGATTGCTTATAATTCTTAATATAATGTAAATGCTATGTAAATACTTGTTAATTATTCAGCAAAAGAAGACAAGGAAAAAAGTCTGTACATGTTTAGTACAGATGCAATTTTTTTTCAAATATTTTCCATCTCTGAGTGGTCAAAGCCACTGATACAGATCCTGTAGATATGGAAGGCTGACTACTGTCAGAGAGAATGTTTCCAGTGTAGAAATGGAGAACATGGAGTTTATTTGCCCAGATTCTGTACCCAGTGGGGGCTCAATCATTGCTGCCAAGGGCTTGGCCTTCATTTTAAGGATCCCAAGGATCTGGTTTCCTGTCTTTTCTCATTTGGATATTTCTAGGCTCTCTGGCTGATATACTACCACTTCTACCTTATAATAAGGTCATTTACCTGCATCATGCTCTCTCTCAGTGAGACGCCACTCAGAGCTGGCTAAATTGTCTTAATGGAATATCAGGGAGGAACACTTACCCATCCAGGTCTGCTGTTTCTATGTATGTCAGACTGTATGGCTCACTGCTGGAGAGTAATAGTAGATCTGCCTGTGATTAGAAAAGTCAGAGAAGCTAAGGAAAGCAGGAAGGCAGGCTTTTAACATTACGGCGTGACAAAAGCAGTCCTTCAGGAACAGGCATCCCTAAGAATTTTATAGACACCTGGTTTACTTTCTATGTCTGGGACCCATCACTGCTACCACACACCTCTCTCAAAGCTACTCATACTTTGTCTGTAGCTTTGGGGAAGGATGGACAGGAATAAGTTTCTTACTCTAGGAGTTGTTCATCTCTGATGCAAAGTGAGGCAGATGAAGGTCACCAAGAGCAATGGCAGCAAAAGGGATGTAAGGGTCCCAGGATCCCGCTCAAGCCAAAAAAGAAAAAGCCACAGCCAGAATAGGTACTCACAGGGACAGCCTGGTCATTTTTTAGTTTTATTATATCTCCCACTTGGACATTCATCCATTTGTCCTCCTTTACCCTGCAAGATAATGATTTTAAATGTCTGCTCTGTAAATTCTCCAAAGCTCTGTTTTAACAATCAAGAAGCAAAACATAAAACAAGGCTGAGATGAAAGAAGACAGGACCAAACTGGTTTGTGGTGCATCCTCCCTGCTATCAAGAATGGGACCCATTTCTCTTGACTTCAGGTTATAAACATTTCTTAGAACCCCGTACACAGACATAGGGTCTACATATCATGCATGTATATGTAGACATACATGCACATGATTATTTTATTTTTTAAAGTAGTTTTTGGTTGTCAATGGACCTTTATTTTTATTTATATGCAGTGCTGAGAATCTAACCCAGGGCCTCACACATGCTAGGCAAGCACTCTACAACTGAGCTACAACCCCAGCCCCACAAGATTATTTTCTAAGTGAAACAGAACAGTAAAGAATTTAGAAGGAAAAATTAAAGTCTCCCTTATCCACAGACCTTAGTTAGACTCCCTAAAGGTAGCCACTGTAATTTTTCTGTGTGTGTTTCTTTCTAGAAAATCTCAACTCAACCAGGCACAGTGGCACTTGCTTGTAATCCCAGTGGCTCAGGAGGCTGAGGCAGGAGGATTGCAAGTTCAAAACCAGGTTTATCAAGAGCGAGGCGCTAAGCAACTCAGTGAGACCCTGTCTCTAAATAAAATACAAAATAGGGCTGGGGATGTGGCTCCATGGTTGAGTGCCCCTGAGTTCAATCCTCAGTACCAAAAAAATCCCCAAAACCCTCAAGTCACAAAATTCCATACAATATATACATCTAAAAGTTATGCATTAAAGACATAGCTTTCTGCACTTTGCATTTTTCATTTAGTAATATATCTTGGAAAGTATTTATAGAAGTATTTATTTTGAATAGCTAAAATATATTCTATCATATGGCTATACAAATTTTATCTTTTTAGTATTTATTTCTTAGTTTTAAGTGGACACAATATCTTTATTTTATTTTTATGTGGTGCTGAGGATCAAACCCAGTGCCCCACGCATGCTAAACCAATGAGCCACAATCCCAGCCCTATACAAATTTTCTTTATGTTAAAATCAAATTACCTTTGACTCTCAGATCCCCATTTTCCATAAAAAGCATCCTGGCAGGTTCTACAATAATACTTCTTTTACTCCCTCATTTTTTGTGCTTCAATTTCCCCAACTGCATAGAATTTGTAAGTCCTGCCTTTCTGACAAAGGATAAGGAGAAGATATATATATGTGTATGTGTGTGTGTATATCCACAAACATTTGGAAACATTAACTACCCCCTTAAATAATTCTATTATACCAAGCGCCCAAAGATCCGAGAAACAGAGGCCACATCTAGAAATCATTCCACAGTTCATCTCTGTAGGCAGTCTTGTCACCTGTAGGCCATGACATACATCAGCACTTTGCCAGACACACAAAGCCATAATTCCCATAGGTATACTTTTCTAAGAAAATCTTCTCTTTGAGAAGGGCCAAATTTCTTTTATGTAATAAAATCCTTTAATATAAATTTCACCTTCATTTAGAGAATTTTCTGATAGAACTGAAGTGTAGTAGCTACAAGCCTTGGAGAAAGACAGCTGGGACTTTCTTTATTTAGTCTTGATTTGACATTTACTTTTGTGGGTTCTCTAGCATTCTATCTGCCATGGTTTTCACCAATGAAACACAAGCAGAAAGCAGGGATATAACTTTCTACTTTTCCTGGAAATTTAAAAATATGTTTACAGATAATAAAAGTGTTTGTTTATAAAATAAATTATTTTTTTGTGAGACTTGGGATTGAACCCAGGGATACTCTATCACTGAGCCACATCCCAGCCCTTTTAAGAATTGTGTACTTTGAAACAGGGTCTTGAATTTATGATCTTCCTTCCTCGGCCTCCCACTTCACTGGCATTACAGGTTTGTGCCAATGCACCTGGATAAAGGCTTATATTTTATTACATAAGGAGCTGTCAAACTAGTACCAATTTGTTCTTGGACATTATAATAAACATACATCTTAGATCTGGGAGAGTGGATAAATTCCTTACTGATTTAAAATATTCAATCCTGTTATGCCATAAGTACATTTTTATTTCCAGGCTTTGTTTAGGAAGAATGGCCAGAGAGCTAGAGAAGGCAATGCTCTGACTTTAGGGGAGACCATTCACTTACACTCTCTGTTTTACATGAATGATATCTGTGGAGTTCTGAAACACACTGATACTTTCCAACAAATACTTAAATAAAGTCAACACTCTCAAAAGCAAGGCTTTTTGTTTTTTTTCGTTTTTGTTTTCCCTTTAGGGGTGTGGCTGGCAGTGGCACCTTCCCTGTCCCCTGTCCCATGCCTCAAGCCTCTCAGGCCCAGTCCTTCTGCTCACTCTCAAAGCAAGGCTTTTTTTTGCCATAAAGTAAGGATCCAGAAAAAAGAGAGAATTAAATCTAGAACTGGGAGAGTGTACTGAAGCCGTTTTGGTCTGGGGTGAGGAAGGGGATTTCTAGTTTTAACGATCTAGTAACCTAAGTTTTAATTTATCCTACAACATGGACAAGTGGTGAACTCTTATGATCTTAAGAGGTAGTCAGTTGGAACTAGAAACCCCTCATAGGGCTGGGACTGTAGCTCAGTGGCAGAGCGCTTGCCTCACACGTGTGAGGCACTGGGTTCGAGCCTCAGCATCACATAAAAATAAGAAAATAAATTAAAGCATGCTATCCATCTACAACTACAAAAAAAAAAAAAAGAAAGAAAGAAAAAAGAAAAAAAAAGCAAAAGAAAAGAAAAAGAATCCTCATGAAGTCAGAACCCTTAAGGACAGCAGCATTAGTGAAAGGGTGGCCTAAAAAGTAAACTGGCCACAGGCAAGACAGTCTACCTACCTTAATATGGAAGGTTGGGGTCAGTGAATGGAGGACTCTCCCCTGAGAATCTGAATCCTCATGTGACATGGGGTTCATTCACCCTTATACTTTTTCCAAATTAGGTCCTGGCAGATGAAACCACTGAGTCATCTGACAGAAGCAAACATAAAACCCTTCTAGAATGATAACTCAGTTTACTTTTGTCCACAAAATTATTGATAACTGAAAAATGACAAAAATCTCAACTTGCTAAACAGACAAGCTTTTGCAGTAGCAGCAATGCTCAGACTCATATTCTAGAAAAAGGAAAGCTGCTTTCTGGAAGATGGACAGCTTCAACAATGAGCCTCACCTCTGTGTGTAAAATTCATCAGATTCTTGTTGGATGCAGAGTCTAACCAGGGCCTTGCTAATTAACTTCTGCCCTAAAATAACTCCATGACAAATTTACCTCCAATAATCTTATAAAATCCAAGGGCTCAAGCTACAGTGTTCATTTGACTAAATTCATTTGGTCAGCAACTCCCTTGGCTAGTTACTAATACACTTCAGCTTTTCCCTTTCTTTCTTTCTTTTTTATTTCTATTTTTCTTCTTAATTACAACACGTCCTTTTTGGTGTCTTTTTTTTTTTTTTTTTTTTTGTACCAGGATTGAACTCAGGGGCACTCGACCACTGACCACATCCCCAGCCCTATTTTGTATTTTATTTAGAGACAGGGTCTCACTGAGTTACTTCGTGCCTTGCTTTTGCTGAGGCTGGCTTTGAACTTGCAATCCTCCTGCCTTAGCCTCATGAGCCACTGGGATTACAGGCAAGTGCCACCATGCCTGGCCCTTTTTGGTGTCTTATGGGAGATTTCAACAGTTCTAAATACTCAAGGAAACAATCTAGTGTAAGTAAGAACCAGCAGACAAAATAAACAATAGGATGAGATGCCTAGAACACCAGATGACAGAATTACATGATAAAAATTACAGATACAAGTGAGCTGTAAGGCCACCATGAGAAAGGCTGAACCTCAACCTTGACTTCCTTCAGGTTTGTACTTTATTGCAGTTGTGCTTCTGCTCATGCTGGCCATTCTTCTTTTCACACAATCCCTTTTATTGAATTCTTCCCATTCTTCAAGGTCTGGTACAGATATCACCTCTTCCAGAAAGTTTTCTTTGATTTCTTTTGCCAGCTATGATTATTATAGTAATTTGTTGTACCTCTTATGATATCTTCATATTTTGCCTTACATAGGAACATGTTTGTCTCCTTTCAGTCTTGCCAACACTTTAGGTGCCTAAGACCAAACACCAGAGCAATGGTGTTGACACAAATACTTCTTTAGACTGTTAATAGGAAAGATAACCTGACCAAAGGCTCAAATCCAGTAATGTTATAAACTCAAATGTCTTCTTTCTAACCATGACACTGATAATAATCACTTGTATATTTAGTATCATGTTATAACATATAAATTGCTTTAATATAAATTATTTTTCCTTCATCTTCACAGGCATCTTCTAAGTGAAAAATATTATTTCCACTTTAAAGAGAAGAAAAATTAGTCCCAGAGACATTTGAAGTAAGGTGGCAAGTTCAGGGCATACTCAATGACATCTAGAAACAAATTCCTTTTGTGCAAATCTGAGGTTCTTTTCACTGTCCTGAACTACCTTTCCCAAGTACCCAGGACATCACACTTTAATAAGGCTGACCCTCTCTTGGGACTGGTCCTACCTAAATTGACTTCCTTAAAAAACGTACCTGCCATCTGCCAGCAGCAGAACAGAACAGTTGTTAACTTGATTGTCACTTTGGTGCCTTTTCTAAAACCACACAAGAAGATGTTCAGGAAACAGATATATAGAACTGCATGTAAAATTTTAACATTTTGAAATATTACCCTATATACACACACACACATACACACACATATTTATATATTCCCTCCTTTGTAATATCCCTTTCTTCCATTCCAAAGCCCTTTCTACCACTAAAATCAGGCTAAGAACCTGATGCCACGTGTAAGCTGAGAAGGAAGGTCAGAAAAATTACCTGGGAAGAAGAAAGACAAAGGCCAAAGCCTGGGGTAACTATATCAAAAGGCACAGAGGACAGAGTATACAGAGTATACAGAGTGACAGGCAGAACTAGAGAGTCCCATATGCCTTGGCAGATGCAGGAAAAAGGAGTGTACTGCTGAGCATACTCCCATCCCTATCCCAAATGTGGTCGACATACAGAAACTTCTACAGCAGATGGAATGAAGAAGGAAGCTTATATTCAAAGTCCAAATAGCAGGAGAACAAATATAGGCTATATCCCAGTGCCAGGACTGAAAAAAGGGCAGGACTGTGCAGGGGGCAGAGAGAATTCTGAATTTGTTACAATTCATAATTGTCCAAATATTTATCCTAAAGAGGTGGTTCTAAACCAGAAGTAGCTGGATTACCCCGAATCAACAACTTTTGTTTTTCCTGGAAAGAGTGGGGTGGGATTTGTGAGTGGTTATGAATTAAAATGAGTCCAGTTATAGAGAAATAGTTACATTTTTGCACATCTAAGTTGTGACTAAAATTTAAACCATCAAATGTGCTAAGCTTGGGTTTTACAATTAAAGAGTTGGAGAAACATGCTTTCAAGCTTTGGTCTGAAAACCTAGATAGGCAAAATCAGGATTCTCTTGGGGAAATTGCAAGGATCGACGTCCTGAATCCCCCTAACAGATGTGGGGCTGGGTTTTCCCCCTAGAAGCATTAGCTGCGAACCATTTTTTCTCACCAGTTGTTAACTTGATTAAGGAAAGGAGCTGTGTCTGAGGCTTTCTAAACTAGAGGGCTCCTAGTTGTGCGTGAATAGAACTGAAAGCTGGAAAGGAAATAGGGAGAATTGGAGAGAAGGGAAATGTGGAGGAGGAGGAGAAGAACGAGGAAAAACAGGAACAAGGAGGAGCAGAGTATTGGGAGGAAGGAAAAGAGAATATAAAATGGGAGAAGGGGGCACAGAGGGAGAAGGATGAGTGTGAAACCAGAGAAAGCTAAAAGGGTTGAAGGAAGAGTGAGGGAGTGGCAGAGCCAAAGGAAGGAGACCTGGAGGAGGGCCTCAAAATGATGGGCAGCCCGAAGGCAGAGAAAGGCCTTGCATTGTCCCTTTCTGGCTGTGAAAAGAGAACCAGCCTTAGGCGGATGGGAATTACATATCCTTCTGAGATACATAAAGAAACAAAGAAGGGAAACATCTTTTTCCATTCAGTGCATCTTGGCTTGAGATACTTCTGGGAAGTTTTATTGCCCACAGCCTGTCGAGCTACAGTGAAGGAAGCCCAGGAAGCCACTTCACCAAGTCGTCGATGGCATCCTTCACTCCTGTTATGGACAGCACCACCACCAGAGGTACCACAGTGGTGTACCATGCCAAGGAGGAGATCTGGGGAATCAACTGAGAGAAGGAAAAGGAGAATCTTGGGTCAGAAAACTTAAAGGACAATATATTTTCCTCCAATTCCCTACCTCCACCAACATTTCCACTCCCTAAATTCATAATAAATCCAACTATCCTGTTGCTTTCACTGTTTTAGTTTTCCTGTAACCCTCAGGATATAAGTAAACATTTCCCAAGGGAGGATAAGGAAGGAAAGACTGTCAGTAGCTACCAATCTGTTCTGAGCTTCACAACCTTTGTCCTGATGGAAAAATGCCAGTTCTTTTCTGATAACAAAGGATACTGGAGTAAGAGTGGGTGTGGGGAACCATACACTCTCCCACACTTCTTCCGCACAAGGAGACCTCAGATGATCTGTCTTCTGCTCTAATTTGGGCCTACCCTATGCTGCTTTCCTTGTGCTAGCAGTCTTATATTCTAAATAATCCTCCTTCCTCAGACTCCTACACATCAACTTCCTGTTGTGGAGTCTAGGATGAGAAAGAGGAATAGTACTGCAGTTGGTGTTGGGATGGAGAGTCTGTGGCCACCTATGGTCTAGGTGAACTGGGGCCATGCAGTCGTGAGGAACCCCCATTCCTTGGAATTTGGTGACCTTGTCTCCCTCCTGCAGAGGGTTGATTCACATTGGCTAATCCTAACCTTAGCTATTCTAGGGGACTAGCTTGAGTTACCACCTGTTCATTTGCCTCTGTCTAAAGAGAGAAGATATCCCTCAGTTTAGGGACTGATTATACAACCTGACCCCAGAAAAGTTTATAAAACACCATGGAAAAGGGCCCATGAGGCAATACCTGTAGAATTAGCAATACCAGGAAATAGGCATTTGCAAGTCTCTGGAACTGTTCAAATAGGTTCAGGGGCAGGAAGTTCAAAATAGTATATTTTGAGGTCTTGATGGCATTGTTCTATGAGTAAAAACCAAAAACAACAACAACAACAAAAATCATGCACAATTAGAGAGACAAATGACAGCTTAAAACTGGGTTAATCTATTCATTCAATATTCAGCACTTATTTATTCACTATTAAATATTCAGCATATATTATCTATGTGCCAACTTGGGGGCAGGAACCATGAATACAGAGGTAAATGAAACAAGTCCTTTTCAGCTGCACAATATTTCTTCTGCATATTTACCATAGTTTATTTAAACAGTTCCTTGTACATGGACATTGTATTGTTTTCAATCTTTTATAATCACATGGAGCACAGTTTCTTGGAGAAACAGAAGCCACATTTTCACAATGCTATGACCAGCATGTAAGGTGAATTTTATTATGCCCTTTTTATATATAAAAGAACTAAAGGTCAGAATGACTTGTTTTAGTAAGGAAGCAGAACTGCATTGAAACTCAGGTCTGTGTGATACCAAAACTTACTTTTATTGTATCCTACTGCTTCTTATGTAAGTCTGGGCAATAGAGAGAGGGAAAATCCTGCTCCATTGCACCACATTGAACATTATTATCAAGAACCACTCTCAGAAATCATAAACTAACATACCACATAAACTACAAACACACACACACACACATAGTGTTATACACATGCATTAAATAACATGTATAAAACCATTGCTTATACTTATAAAAGACTGAAAGTGTTTAAATAAACAGTGGTAAATTTGTGGAAGAAATACTAAGCAGGTGAAAAAAGAAGCTGTTATAAGATAACTATATTTATGTGGGTTTGTCTCTGTTTCTTCTATTCTGTTCCATTGGTCTTCATGTCTATTTTTGTGCTGATACCATGCTGTTTTTGTTATTATAGCTTTGTAACATAATTTAAAGTCTGGTATTGTGATGCCTCCTGCTTTCCTTTTCTTGCTAAGGATTGATTTGGCTATTCTGGGCCTTTTATTTTCCAAATGAATTTCATGAATGCTTTTTATATTTCTATGAAGAATGTCATTGGAATTTTCACCTTTTTGTTAGATTGATTCTATATTTTTTCTTTTTAGGCTTTTGTGAATGGGATAGTTTTCTTAATTTTTCTTTCAGCTGATCCATCACTGGTATATAGGAACACAATTAATTCATGGGTGTTAGTTTTATATACTCTATTTTGCTGAATTTGTTTATGAGTTCTAGAAGGCTTCTTGTGGAGTTTTTTGGGTCTTCTAAATATAGAATCATGTTATTGGTAAACAGGGATAGTTCTTTTCCTATTTGAGTCCCTTTAATTGTTTTCTTTTGTCTAATTGCTCTGGCTAGAGTTTCAAGGACTATGTTGAATAGAAGTGCTGAAAGAAGGCATCCCTGTCTTGTTCCAGTTTTTAGGGGGAATGCTTTCAATTTTTTTTTTTTTCATTTAGAATGATGTTGGCTCTGGCTTTAACATATATAGCTTTTACAATGTTGAGGTATGCTCCTACTATCCCTAGTTTTTCTAGTGTTTTGAGCATGAATGAATGCTGAATTTTGTCAAATCCTTTTCTACATATATTGAGATAATCATGTGATTCTTATCTTTATGTTTATTGATGTGATGAATTATGTTTATTGATTTCCATATGTTGAACCAACTTTACATCCCTTGGATGAACCCTATTTGATCATGGTACACTATCTTTTTAATATGCTTACAGTTATCTCATCCTAGACAAAGGCATCATAAACATACACTGGAGGAAAGATAGACACTTCAATAGATGGTGCTGGGACAACATCATGTAGCAGAATGAAATTCAATGGATGTGTAACTGATGTGATTCTGCAATCTGTGTATGGGGTGAAGGTGGGAGTTCATAACCCACTTGAATCAAAGTGTGGAATATGATATGTCAAGAAATTTGTAATGTTTTGAACAACCCACAATAAAAAATTAAAAAAATAAATAAAAATAAACTTGGATCCAGTAAAAAAAAAAAAAGAAATTCAACCCCTATCTCTCATCCTGCTCAAAACTCAACTTAAAGTGGATCAAGGTCCTAGGAATTAGACCCATGACCCTGTGCATACTAGAAGAAAATGTAGAGCCAACTTTCCATCATGTCAGCTCAGGAACTGACTTCCTCAGCAAGACTCCTAAAGCACAAGAAGTAAAATTAGGAATCAATAAGTGGGATGGATATCAAACTAAAAAGCTTCTTCACAGCAAAGAACCAAGAACATGAAGAGAGACCCTAAAGGATGGGAAAAAAGCTTTGCCACCTGCACTTTATCTACAGCATTAATCTCCAGGATATACACAGAACTCAACACCAAGCAAACAAATAACCAATCAATAAATGGGCAAAGAAACTGAATAGGCGCTTAATAGAAGAAGAAATACAAGTGGTCAGTAAATATATGAAAAAATGTTCAACTTCTCTAGCAATTAGAGAAATGTAAATTAAAATTACACTGATATTCCACCTCACTCCAGTCAGAATGGCAATTATTAAGTTTTTTGGGTCTTCTAAATATAGAATCATGTTGTTGGTGGGGTTGAGGCTGTGGCTCAGTGGTAGAGAGCTTGCCTTGCACATGTGAGGCACTGGGTTTGCTCCTAAGCACCACATTAAAAATAAATAAATGTGTGTGTGTGTGTGTGTGTATTACATTATATGGGGGAAAAGGTTCATTCCTATATTGTGGGTAGGACTGCAAATTGGTGCAACCACTCTGGAAAACAGATGGAGATTCCTTAGAAAACTTGGAATGGAACCACCATTTGACCCAGTTATTCCACTCTTTGGTTTATACCCAAAGGACTTAAAAATCAGCATACTACAGTGATATAGCCACATCAATGTTTACAGCAGCTCAATTCACAACAGCCAAGCTATGGAACCAACCTAGGTGTCCTTCAAGAGATGAAAGGATAAAGAAAATGTGGTATGTATACATAATGGAATACTACTCAGTCATGAAGAAGAATGAAATTATAGCATTTGCTGAATGAAGCTGGAGATTATTACTAGTCCCCCCATGGCTTTATTGAAGTACAATAAAATATACATATTTGAAATATGCAATTTGATCAGTTTTGACATGTATATAACCAATATAATCAATATAAAAAGCATTTCCATTACTTTTTTTTTAAATTTGAAATCATGCAGACTGTTTCCTGAATGATTTATTACATTAGGAATCAATCATCCTAGGGTTGTGGCTCAGTGGTAGAGCCCTTGCCTAGCATGTGTGAGGCACTGGGTTCGATTCTTAGCACCACATACAAATAAATTAATAAAATAAAGGTCATCAATGTCTAAACAAATTTTAAAAAAGAAATCCATTACCTTAAGATATACAGAACCCCACCCCCACATGTCAAATATTTCAAAATTAAATGGCTCACTTATAAATATCTCAGAGGTCAAGGAAGAAAGCACAATAAAAATAAATAAAAAGTGCTCTGAACTAAGTGATAATAAAAGCTTAAAATATCAGGATCTCTAGGATGAAACAGTAGTCAGATGAACATTTATAACTTAAAGTATTTTTATTAGAAAAAAGCTAGATTAACAAATTATTTTCAAATTATGTAGTAGGAAGAAAAATTAGGAGAAGGAATATATATATTCCTACTCCTAATATATATAAATACTATGGCTAAAATTTGATAAGAATCAAAAAGTCTAATCAAGAAAAAAGAACACAAAAATTAGTATCAATGGAAAGGGAGCTATCAAAATAACCCTACAGATGCTAAAAATATATTAAGGTACTATTACAATTGTATGCCAACATATGTGATAGCTTACATAACATGGTCTATATTAGAGAAGGATCTGTGTGCTGCTGAGAAGAAAGTGTAATATTCTATATATATCTGATAAGTCTAAATTATCAATTGTATTTTTTACTGCTATAGTTTCTTTATTTAGTTTTTGTTTGAAAGGTCTATCCAGTGGTGACAGAGGCATGTTAAAGTTACCCAGTATTGTGGTGTTGTGGTCTATTTGATCCTTGAAATTGAGAAGGGTTTGTTTGATGTATTGTAGATGCTCCATTGTTTGGGGCATAAATATTTATGAATGTTATGTCTTGTTGATATATAATTCCCTTAAGGGGTATGAAATGAGCTTTGTCCCTTCTGATTAGCTTTGGCTTGAAGTCCACTTTATCTGAGCATAGAAAACCCTGCTTGTTTATGTGATCCATGTGAATGATATGTTTTTCCCCATCTTTATACCTTCAGTCTATGGATGTCTTTGGCAACAAGGTGAGTGTCTTGGAGACAGCGTATTGTTTGGGGCTTGCTTTTTAATCCAATCTGCCAGTCTATGTCTTTTGATGATGATTTTAGGCCCCTGAATTAATGTTCAAGGTTATTACTGAGATATGATTTGTATTCCCAGTCATGGTTTATTTCTAGTTTTTAGTTTGAATTCGTTTCTCCTTTGATTGACTATTCTTTTAGTGTAGTTCTTCCCTTTGCTGGTTTTCACTTTTTTCTTCCCCTTTTACCTTTTTTTTTTAATCTTTATTTTGTTTATTTGTATTTATGCGGTGCTGAGGATCAAACCAGTGCCTCACATTGCAAGGCAAGCACTCTGCTTCTGTGCCACAACCCCAGCCCTCCCCTTTCATCTTCATAGAATATTTTGTTGAGAATGTTCTATAGTTGTGAATTCTTTTAACTTTTGTTTATCATGGAAGTTTTTTATTTCACCTTCAAATCTAAAGTTTAATTTTGCTGGATACAGGATTCTTTGTTGGCAAACATTTTCTTTCAGAGCTTGGTATATGTTATTGCAGGACCTCCTAGCTTTGAGGGTCTGGGTTGATAAGTTAGCTGAGATCCAAATTGATTTCCCCTATACATAATCTGATATTTTTCTCTCACAGCCTTTAAAATTTTATCCTTATTCTGTATGTTAGGCATTTTCATTAAAATGTGCCTTTGTGTGGGTTGTTGTAATTCTGTACATTTGGCGTCCTGTAAGCCTCTTGTATTTGATTTTCCATTTCAGTTTTTAGGTTTGGGAAATATTCATGTATTATTTCATTGAAAAGATTGTGCATTCCTTGGTTTGTATCTTTGTGGCTTCATCTATCCCAATAAATCTTAAATTTGGCCTTTTCAGTTTATCCCATAGTTCTTGGAAGTTCTGTTGATTTTTTTTTAACATCTTCTCTCCATGGTCAACTCTATTTTCAAGATTATATATTTTGTGTTCATCGCCTGAGGTTCTGTCTTCTAAGTGGTGTAGTCTGTTGGTGATGCAAATTGAATTTTTAATTTGGTTTACTGTTTCCTTCGTTTCAAGGAATTCTGCTTGTTTATTTTTTTCCAGAATCTCTGCCTCTTATTTTTTTTTTTAAGTTTTTTTTTTTAGTTGTAGATGGACACAATACTTTTATTTTATTCACATATTTTTAGGCGGTGCTGAGGGTTGAACCCAATGCCTCACACATGCCAGGAAAGTGCTCCACCACTGAGCCACACCTCTAGCCCTCTACCTCTTTATTGAAGTGATCTTTCACTTCCTGCATTTTCTCTCTGATTTCATTCCTTATACCGTATTTTACTTTGCAGATCCAGTTTAACTATGTACATTCTAAACTCCTTCTCTGACATTTATTCTACTGTTGTGTTGATGGATTCTGTTATTGGAGTATCTTGCTTTCTTTGACATGATTTGTTCCCCTTTTTTCTTGTGTTCTTTGTGTGTCTACCCATCTAACAGTATGGATCTGAGGCAGTAGAATTTCTACTCTGGACTTTTAGTGTCCCTGAAGGCTTCCAGTACTTCACTATTTAGGGGGAGACAAATAATAACAACCAATGCAAACAATTACAGCATTAAACCAAATAGTTCCTACTATGATGTTTCCAATGTTAATTATCACAATAAACAGAAATGATATGATCAGTTATTGCCTACAATAAAAACAGCGAGTTTGCAAAAAGGTTTATAATTTCAAATGGTGGACAGGGAGAAAACAGAAGTGATATAGGATGCGATGATTATGAGGGAGGAGGAGAGAAGAAGAAGTAAAAAATTAAAGGAAGAGTGAAAGAACAATAGAGATTAGCTGTTATCAGAAGAAAAGAGAGAATCAAGGAAAACTAGTAGGAGAAAAAATATATATGAATAAAAATTTTTAAAAAATAAAAATAAAAGAATACAAAACATAACTAAAACATACTAATCAAACATTCTAGTTCATAAAATAACTAATCCATAAAAAAATAATTGGCTTCAAAAATGCTAGAAATGAGAAAAAAATGAATATGTATAAATGTCCATGTACCATTAAGGTCACAATTATACAGAGAAAAAGAATTAAAAAAAGATCTTGATGAAAAGTTAAAGAATTCTTTCTGTTGGGGTTCAAAATATTCTCAGCTTCCCTTGTCAGCAGTTTTAGGTGGGGGTCTTCTAGACCCTCTGGATTGCTGGAGGGAGAGAGGTTAACCAGTAAGCAGAGTTCCTGGAGGCAGGGTTTTGGCTTGGATGCTCCATTGTTTGGGGCTCTTTGCTGAATGCAGATAGGTCTGGAGATTTTAAATCAGTGCACCTCCAGTACCCAGTACTTGCTTGTCCACACTGGAAGACTGTACCCCAGGGATGAGTAGTGGGGGAACCAATTCTTAGTCCCCTTCCTTGCCTTCTGACCCCATGTTTCCTGGTCTTGTGTTCAGTCTCCAAACAATATCTTCTGCCCGTGCCAGTTCAGTAAAGTCACCCCACTTTTTTTGTTTACCCATTCTTTCTGAGAAGCTGCCTATCTGCTTTCTTGGTTTCACTCCTTGGGGCAGCTAGGAAAGCGACCTCCTCTATTCTGCCATCTTGAAAACTCTCAATATATATCTTTTCAATGAACTACTTATTCATAAACAAATAAGTAGGTGAAAAATGAACAACCCAGTAGAAAATTGGCAAAGATCATTAATAGGCAGTTTTCAGAAAAAGAAATATAAATGGCTAACACAAGAAGATTATCAATCACACTTAAAAATTAAGGAAGAAGAGACAACAAAATGCCATTTTTCATCTAAGAGTCTTTTTTCATTGAAGGTGAAATGATTGATAATAACCAGTTTTGCAGGAATGTAGAAAAATGGACAATCTCTATGTGGGAGGCCATCCTCGCATGTGATTTGAGTTACTTCCCAGGCTGGATGAAAGGCATTGGACACAGCGGTGTTAAAGCCATCCCACACCCTGTCCCAGGTAGGAGGGCTTGTACGTGCAGAGGTGTGCCTAGCCACTGATCTGAAGACCCAATCGCTGGCCCTGACCTTGGGATGCTGCCCCCCTTAACCTTCATTGGATGGGATTTTTCCCTTGAATTTTTTGTTCCCCAATAAAAGCTCACTCCCTGGCGTGTGCGCTCTCGCTCTCTCTCTCTCTCTCTCTCTCTCTCTCTCTCTCTCTCTGTTTCTTTTGTAAACCTCGCCACAGCATTAGGTGGCTGGAGGCGGTAGCTAGGAGAAGCGGGCTTAGAGCTGGGGTTAAAGGTAACGAGAGTCTCTCTCTTTAATTTAAAACTCACTAGCAATTTCTTGTGCATTGAACCTTCTTTTATGAAGCTCGTGCTGGTCGCGTGGCAGATCTCTACTATAGACAGAACTATAAAAGGATATAATCTTTTTAGAGGGCAATCTGACAGTATGTATCATAATTTTTAATGTGTTTTCTTTTTATCTTAGCCAATTCACTTCCAGGAAGTTCTCACAACATATATGAATACAAATGTGACAAACTATATATATTTATACCTATATATGGAATATACATATTATATATCTATGCAGATACACATATATAATGTTGGTCATGTAGGATCATTTATTGTAGATTTCTTTCCTTTTTTTCTTCGTTTAGTACTGGGGGTTGAGCCCAGGGGTACTTCACCACTGAGCTACATTCCAGTCCTTTTTATTATTTATATACATGTTTTAGTTGTAGTTGGACACAACACCTTTACTTATTTATTTGTTATTTATTTATTTATTTTTATGTGGTGCTGAGGATGGAACCCAGGGCCTTGGATGTACTAGGCGAGTGCTCTACCATTAAGACACAACCCCAGTGCCCCCCTGTCCTTTTTATTTTTTATTTTGAGGCAGGGTCTCACTAAGTTGCCAAGGCTGGCCTTAAACTTGTGATCCTCCTCCCTCAGTCTCCAGATTAGCTAGGATTACAGGTGTGTGCCACTGAGCTTGGCAGGACTATTTATCATAGAAAAATGCTGGAAAATTTTAAATGTTCATCAATAGAAAATTGGTTGAATAACATAAGGTTTATCAATATAATGGAAAATAATGAGTGTAGTAGATCTACATGTATTGTCTTAATATCTAAGTGAAAAAAGACAATTGTGGAACTAAGCTTTCATTTGTGCAAAACAAAAAGCTACAGTATTTCTTTTCTAGTTGTCATATATAAATCTAAAATCTGAGACATATTCTCCCCTGAGTTTAGGTACTTGGATTAATTTGGTTTCTGAACCCTCATTGTATCACACATTGTATAGGAACTTAAAAGAAAGTAGACTTTATACTGAAGGATTCACATCTATAATGAATTCCCTGTTTCCTTAACAAAGAGAAATATTACACAAAATATTAACCCCCTTCTGAAATAGCCCAAGGTGGGATACTTACTGGATATCCAAAAAGAGCGTTGAATTCTCTGTTGTTGGCTTGCAAAAATCTCTCATATTCTGGGGGTGGGGTGGGGGGAGAAGAGAAATGATAAGAAAGAATGATGGACCTCTGCAGATCAACCTGGGATGCTGGCTGCTAGTGAAGACTTTACTAGGTTCCAACACTTTCTTGCTGAGGATATTTATTTAAAAATGGGATTTTTGTCTCTTTATTCAAAGAAATGAGAAATATATTTCAAGGGGGAAATCCTCAAGTCTTCAAGCTTTCTGGAAGAAACAGGACAAGAACATCCTGAGAGTCTACACATTAATCCTTTGTAAGTGCTTTCTAGATTATGTCTCTGCAATCATAACTGTTAAACACAGAAATCCAGCCCTCCCTCACAAATCAATTCCAACAACCTGTCTTAGGATAACTGAGGCTCTTTTCCAGGCCAGGTTTCCTAAACTTTTCATGATATTGTTCCTGTATGAAATATATACATATTTATTATACACATATATGTATGTATATAAACATGTTTGGTTTTTGTTTATTTTGTTTTTCATCCATAGTTCCTGGCTCTTAACTCCCTCTCCAAGGCAGGCCAAAGAAACTAAAATGTCTCTTTCCAAAGGAAGGTTGTGGAAATTCTAATCTTTCTGGAGCTGGCCATAAAAAATTTCTCTGACTTACCTTGTCTAATAGTTAAGTCATAATACCCCACCTCATTCCAGAGGGTTCCTACCTCATACTCTGGAGGAAGGAATGCTGCACAGACAGGCCTTGTTGGGGTTCCCCACTAAGTCTATTAGCTTTCATGCCTATGCAATAGTCTCCATTAAACCCCCAAAGGATAGGGTTTGGAGAGCTTTAGGACAGATGAACAAGTGGAGAATCCCAGCAAGGTGAACAAGGATTCATATAGACACTTGGAGGATGTTGTACCCCACCTCCACAGGAACAGAAGCTCCTGAGCTTGAGACCCTTCCAGACCTTACCCTGTATATCGCTTCATCTGACACTTATTCGTCTCCTTTGAAATATCCTTTATAATGAACCTGAAATTTTAAATATGTTCTCTGAGCTCTGTGAGATGCTTTAGCAAATTAGACAAACCTGAGGAGATAGTATTAGAACTAAACTGGATTAGAGTGCATTCAGCTCTTATGTCTGCTGCTGCAAAATCAATTGCTTACTGGTAGGGAGCAATCCCCATACCTTTTGAGGTCACAGAAGTCTTCTCTGTGGATTGTGATGAAAGCAGAGGACAAACAGACAGACAGACTGTTTTCTCTGACATGCTTGCTTAACTAAATTTAAATTATTAAATCATCACTAAGCATCTATTACACAGAAGCCAGTGTGCTGTGGTGGGATAAAAAGACGAATGAATAAGACAGAATATCAAATTTTAATGTAGTAGGTCTGAGTCTGATAACTACAATATAAGACAAAATCATCCTATCAAAACAGAGGTGTTGGGCTGGGGTTGTAGTTCAGTGGTAGAGTGCTTACCTAGCACTCACTTGTGTGAGGCACTGGGTTGGATTTTCAAAATGCATATAAATAAATAAATAAATAAATGTCAATTGACAACTAAAAAAATACTTTAAAAAAACAGAGGTTTTACAACTATTAGAAATAGTGAGGTTATTGATATATTATGAAAAATTTAAAGGTATAGATCTGTCTTTCAGTATTAGTGGGGGATAGGTTCTAGGGCCCTTGTGAATACCCAAATTGATGATGCTCAAGTTTCTTATATACAATGGTGTAGTATTTGCACATAATCTGTCTATATACATCCTCCTGTATACTCTAAATTATGCATAATGACCCACTGAAAAGTAAGTAACTAAGAGGAATAAGGAGGAAGGAAGAAAAGGAGAGAAATTCAGTTGATCAGCTGTCAATCATGCTTAGAAGATTCTGAGCAAATATCCCCTTGCTTATAATGGGAAATGGATCACAAATGAGATTTTCCAGCTAAAAATGAGATGATTGTCAGGAATGTATATTAGTCAAGGCCTCTGCTTTTTATAGTTATCCATACTGACAACTCAGTTAAGACCAAATGTTGGCAAGGGAAACTCAGGAATGACTCCCTGCTGTATGACCTAGGGGATTTCTGCCAAGTCACTTAATGCCTTGATAGAAATTTCTTTCCCTCTTTTCTTGTCTAAAAAAATAAGTGAGGAGAGCTGCAATGGGATGGATATTTGGTCCATTTAAGTTGGAATCAATTTACATTAGGTAGTCAAATCACATAATCTAAAACATTATAGCTAGCAGATTTAGTTTACCATATGGCTTATAACCTTGTCTAAACTCCCAGATGTCTGGAGTGCAGCAGATGATATCTTCTCATAAAGAATGGTAAGAAGTAGCAGGGCATGGCGATGCATGCTTTTAATCCTAGGCTGAGGCAGGAGATCATAAGTCCAGGCCACTTAGCAAGACCTTGTCTCAAAGTTAAAATTAAAAAAGGCTGGGAATGTACTTCAGTGGTTAGAGTACCCTGGTTAAATACCCAATTATCATCCCCGCCCCCCGCCCCGAAAAAGGTAAGAAACCTAGCTAAATGACATGACAGAGAGATCATGGGTAAGGCCAGGACCTATTGCCCTGTAGGAGAGGCAATAACTAATTTGCTTTCTCACCACAGTTTCATTTCATTACATAGCTAATAATGCTATGTCCTATGATCTATAGTCAAATCCTTTGTCACACTTATAATACCATATTTCCCCCATTCAACAAAGAACTCCTTAAAGACAGAGAACATGAGACCTACTTTTTTAGATTCTGCGTATAAGTGAAATCATTCAGTATTTGTCTTTATATGCCTTGCTTATTTCAGTTAACATAATATCTTCAAGGTTCATCCATATAGTCACAAATGACATATTTTCCTTCTTTTTATGACTGAACAGTATGATGGTTACCAGGGACTTGGGGCAGTGGTGGGGAAAGGGGTTGGTAGGTGTTAATTCAAGGTTACAAAATTTCAGATGGGAGGAGATCTATTTTACAACATGGTGACTACAGTTAATAGTAGTATATAGCAACTTTGAAAATGATAAATAGATTTTATGTGTTCTCATTACAAAAAACGATAATATGTTAATTAGCTTGATTTAGCCATTCCATAATGCATATATATACACATATAAATATAACATATACATATGATATTTATATATGTATATATGATATAATTAGCTTGATTTAGCTATTCCACAATGCACACATATATATATATACACATATATAATATACATATATATGTTGTTATATGATATATGTATGTATATGATATTCTTAAATATGTATTGGAATATATATTTCAAAACATTAGGTACAAAATAAATATATATTTTTGTCAAATTTTTTTAAAAAGATGGAGACCATGTCTTTTTTTCCCTTTCTTATTTAAGGGAAAATAAGAAAAATTAGCTCAGCAATAGTCCCCAGATTAATAAAGATTTGTTGAATGAACAAGCACATAACTGAAAAGATGGTTACAAGAGTGTTTTGCCAAATTGAGGTTAGATTTCTGTCCAAACCCCTCCAATGGAGGATAATCCCCTCCTCCTGTGGAAGGATCTGCATAATCACAGAACAGCTGGGCTGAGAGAAGCTCAGCTAAGGCTAATTTTTTTTTTTTTAACCTTAGCTAAAGTCAGTAAACAGGAGGCTGTTAAGCATGGCTGAAGACAATATGTAGATTCAGTGTTAAGAAAAGCCTGCAGAAGAAGCTAAGTCCAAACCTTGAGCTCTCACAACTCCATCCCCTAGAGGATCACTGATTCATATGGCCAAATACAGTGAAAACAAGACCAGGTCCTATAGAAAATCAAAACAGTCATAAAAGCCAAACAAAACAACACAAAACAAAAACAAACAATAACTATTTCCTTAACAGAGTCCCATAGAAAATTGACTGGCATAACTCAGGATGCCCTTAAAGACAAAGTACCCACCCTAAACCCCTCAGAGACCTTAGGTCTCTCCCTTTCCTCTTTGAGGCAGAGGCCCCAGCCCACAGGAACATTTCACAAAGGCTGAAGTACTTTGTTTGCTATTCTGACCTCATTTGGAATATAGGACTGTTGAGAGCCACAGCCAAAGGGGCCCCAGCAAACTTCCAGCTGCCAGCTGCTGGCAGCTGGAAGTTTGCTGGGGCCCCTTTGGCTGTGGCTCTCAACATAGGACCAATGATTTCTCATTAATGTAGTAAAAGGAAAAATGAGTCCTACTTGCTGAACTACTGGATATCGCTTTTGGTGCTGCTCAATTATAAAACCTTCCTTGGCATGGGAACCATGAAGTGGAAATTAAAATCTATTAGCTGGAAACAAAAAGCCTTGGTGATGCTAAAGCAATTTAACTGTAAAAGCGGCAAAACTTAATCCCCTTTTAGGGTTGCCAAATATAGTAAATAAAAAGCAAAGATATCTAAAATAAGTGTACCCAAATATCACATGGGGCACAGCTATACTAGAAGTCATTTTTTTTAAAATCTGAAATTCAAATTTAACTAGAAATCCTGTATTTTATCTGGAATACAGCCTGTATTACTGAGGTCAGGAAAAGTTCTTAAATATTAGTTCAATTACTTCAAATTTTGTAAAGAAACAATTCTATAGTTCTAGAGACTTTAGATGTCTGGTTTATCAAATATTGAGATATTTGCAATCTACCTACTTAAACTGTATGATTCAGTGGTTTTTAGTTTCTTCACAGTTAAGCAAACTAATTGTCTAAACCAGTTACGCAAACTAATTGTAATGCTGCACCTGGCACAATGGCTGGCACTCATTTGGTAATCAATAAATATTTGTTAAATAAATGAATGAATTAATTAGTCCTTATTGATGATATTCATAATTTTCATTTGCTGAGAACTTACTACTCCTGAAAGATTTCTGTTCTCCATATTTTTTCCCCATAAGAAGATGTTGGAGAAGTTGGTCAATTAACCCTGTTTTCCTCAGATCTCTCTCCTTTGGCTCTCCTGAGGGGAGAAAGGACTCCCTTGGCTTTCCCTCTGAGGCATTTCCTGACTTCCTCCTGGAACCAGGGCCTTTCGAATGAGTACTCTCCAGAAAGGAATAACCTACTCAATGACAAAAATGCAAAAATGGTACAGTGTGGCCTTTATTCAGTGAACTAATTTCAATCTCTGCACCATCTATCGTCATTCCTTAAGAGGAAGCCTACACTTAAAACTACATTCTGGTCTGCTTTTTCAAAATTTCATGTCAGAATTTAAAAACATTTTTACATGCCAGGTAGTTCCATTCTGAAAGATGGCTTGAGTATGATTAATCTAGTTTCCTTTAGTATCTTGATTCCCCAAAGGAAATCATGGAAATGGTATGGAAATCCTCCCTAACAACACAGCCAGATCCATTTGTTCTGCCCACAGAAAGACTGCAAGAGGACATTAAATGCCTCAGTAACTTCTTTTCATCCTGACCAGCTCTTTTTAGCAGGAGACAGTTGTGAAGGATAGAGAGAGGAAAGGAATACAATGCTTTCTTGTGAAACTACAAACTCTGGAAAATTATAAAAGATGAGAAATTGCAACTACTCAAATTAGAATTCTTAGATGACAAAACAGAGGAACTCGTTACTTCTACAAAATATATTTCCCTTTCTGGTCATTTGTTTGGTAGGTTAGTAGTTTGGTCAGTCTATTTACCTGCCATAAACACATACGTATATACACAAACACTTTTCAGAGGCAATAATAAGAACGTACAGATTTGATTTTATTTCTTTTCCTGAGTCTTCCTACCTCTTCCATCGAATCCATGCTCACTTTGGGTTTCTGTTAGAGACATTGCAGAGTAGTACCTACTGCAATCCCATGGAATCTCTACAAAGAAAATAAAAATATTTGGAATGAGATTTTTTTTTTAAGCTGACACTCTTTCATTTAATTTGAAATTTTGAAATCCAAAATAATACCCCCTAACATACATATGATAGGTTTTAGAATTCACTCCATTCATTTATCCTCATCAAAAAGTTAAAATTTCAAAGCTTGAGAAACAGATTGCACTTCCTGGCAACAAAGTCTAAATTGATGACTGTGACCCATCCATAAAAGGCAACTGAAACTTAGAAACAGGTGAATGAAGTTACTGGGTGATCTTTTAATGCAATTTTGGGTTTATATCTTTGATTAGTTTTCCAATTTATTTTTGGACTATTTTATAATTGCTTGAGGCACAGGTTAACTTGTAGATTTTTATCCAGTAGAGATACAAATATTTCTTGTCTTATGGAAAAGAACTCCAAAGATTATGACATATTTCACTTTAGGACATTATTTAGTTCTATATGTAATTCAGAAATCTTAACATTTCTTTATTAAATTTCCTATAAACATTTAGCTCCAAAATTTTCATTTGAACTGGTCTTAACATCTGATTGATTCTCTCATTAGTTAATGAATTAAATAAAACTTTTGATACCTGGTATTTTTATATTTATATGAAAATCATGGTTTTTTAAAAATATTTTTTAGTTTTTGAGGTACCTTTATTATTTATTTATTTATATGTGGTGCTGAGGATTGAACCCAGTGCCTCACACATGCTAGGCAAATACTCTACCACTGAGCCACAACCCCAGCCCCCCAAATCATGTTTTTTAACCTTTTGAAAATTATATTTTATCACACCACAAGTTTGCTATATAAACAAATTCTTCTTTCCTTTCCTTCTTTCTCTCCATCCTTAAACCAATTCGAAAAATGTCAATAAAATAGATTTATTCTAATCAATTTCTTCCAGGTCCTATAAATCACTAAGTATGGATAAGCCATGACTAGAAAACTTTTTTTTTTTTTTTAGAGAGAGAGAGAGAGAGAGAGAGAGAGAGAGAGAGAATTTTTAATGTTTATTTTTTAGTTTTTGGCGGACACAACATCTTTGTTTGTATGTGGTGCTGAGGATCAAACTCGGGCTGCATGCACGCATGCCTGGCGAGCGCGCTACCACTTGAGCCACATCCCCGGCCCATGACTAGAAAACTTTAAAGGCAAAGTTTCACCTTAATCATCCTATACAAGATTACAGCAGGGGCAGGTGGGGGGAGTAAGGTCTAAGTAAAAGGGTATTCCCTATCCAGAGCTATTCAACTACCAGGGAAAAAAATAACTCTGGTGGGCTGGTGATGCTAGTGGTAAAGCATTACCCAGCATGTGCAAAGCCCTAGATTTTATCTCCATCACAATAAATAAACCAAAAAACAAAAATAAAGACATTAAAACAAACAACAACAAAAACCCTGGACAACTGTGATCACTCTGAAATATATTTCCAGTTCTGTCCTCTGTGAGTCTCAAGTTACCTTGTATGAAATTCATACTTCAGTAATCTAGGCAGAGTTGCATCAACTAACTTTAGGTGCCAGGTAGTTAACAGCAGATAGATGAAGTGCTGAGCATTGTGACAAATAAGCAAGTGCATGCTTCCTAGAAAAGTATTCAGATTTTATTCACTGAGTTTTTACTGAATTAATTAATATATTACTTCAGTAAAGACAGATATTTATAAGATTAAAATAGTTACAAGATTAAAATTAAAAAATGACTGAATTTCTGTTTCATGAAAAATAAACAGAAATTTAGAAATTGCATTAGAAGTGAATCTATTCATTTATAATATCCAAAATACAAAATAATTTGAAGAAAAATCATGGTATTACTAGAAAATATTAAATAATTATATGGAAATGACTATTGAGAAAAATAAAACAAAATCTAATTAAATTAGCAGTCCTGGGCTGGGGGTGTGGCTCAAGCGGTAGCCCGCTTGCCAGGCATGCGGGCGCTAGGCCTGAGTTTGATCCTCAGCACCACATACAAACAAAGATGTTGTGTCCGCCAAAAACTAAAAAATAAATATTAAAAATTCTCTCTCTCTCTCTCTCTCTCTCTCTCTCTCTCTCTCTCTGTCTCTCTTCTCTCTCACTCTCTTAAAAAAAAAAAAAATAGTAGTCCTAGCAGGGAGTAGCTCAAAAGGGTAAATAGAACATTCATCTGCGTCATCTTCAGAATATAAATTCCTTAAAATGATAGAAATGAGGGGCTGGGGCTGTAGCTCAGTGGCAGAAAGCTTTCCTAGCATGTGTGAGGCACTGGGTTTCATCCTCAGCACCACACAAAAATAATAAATAAATAAATAGGTATTCAGATTTAAAAAAAAAAAAAGAGAGAGAGATTTACATACAGGGTGAGCCAAACATAATTTGTGCTTGTGGACTGACAGTTTTTTACTCCAATCTTAGGCATCTTTCTTCTGCCAACAGAATCTGTGTTCTTATAACCAAGTTAGCAGTTCCCATGCCATCATTCTCTGGGCACCCAGTCCCACCCCTCCTTGCTTCCACAGTAGGCTTGGGGTTCCTACTGTTGCTGAAAGAGGAGAGCCAAGGATAGGATGGCCCAAAGTTCTGGATACTCTTCAACCCCTGCAGGGCTATCAGCAACTGTGAGAGGGTAGCAGGCCAAATACTCACAGGCAACACAGCTTGAAAACTAAAAAGGTTGTGAAGCATTTAGCTAGCGACGGGGACTGAGTACTACAACTGTTCAGCTGGAACCAGGCCCTCGCTCACACAATCTTATACTGCTCTTAGCATACACATCTATTACATGGCAAGCCACCCGGATAGTATAGCTAAGCTGTTAAATTCAGAGGAAGAGTGGACAAACGTGGGGGAAGGGAGGAATAAATGTGGTATGGGAGGAAAAGAGAAGAGATGAAGCAAAAAATGGAGTAGGAGCAGAGAACTGTGTTTTATTTTATAGTTGGCTACGAATTAATGACAATGTGACTTGGGGAAAGTTTTTAACCACTTCCTGCCTCAAATTTCTTCTAAAATGAGAAATAAAAATTTAAAGCCCCCCTTTATTTTGGTAATACCCCATTGGGGATTGAACCCAGGGGGTGCTCTACCACTGATCCACATTCCTGGGCCTTTTTGTTTTTTTATTTTGAGACAGAGTCTTCTGAGTTGCCTAAACTGGCCTTGAACTTGTGAGTTCCTTGCCATAGCCTCACAAATAGCTGGGATTATAGGCATGCACCACTGCACCTGGCTGAAAATTACATTAAAAAAAAAAAACAACAGGAAATGGGTTAGAGTGATACAGGATGGACAAAAGCCTTTTAAGGGATAAATTTGTTAGAAATTTAAGGGTAATTATGCATTTTTTTTTAAAAAAGTACAACATTAGTTTCCATTATGAGACTAAAAAATGAAAGAACTGTGAGAAAATTAAGTGAAGTATGCAATTGCCTTCCACAGTAATCAGTCAATAGCAATATTTAAAAATTTAATATACATATCTACCACATTCATAAAAAGTTAAAGTCTAATAATATTATGTTAGGGAGAAAGTGAAACAACTAGAACACATATATCATTGGAGGTATTAAAAGTTAGATATCCACTTTGGAAAATAATTTGGTTTTATATAATATAGTTGATAAAGCACTTACCCTATAACACAGTAAGTCTTATTTTTAAGTGTTTACACTAGGAAGACTCTTAGGTCATATATAAGGATGTGTGAAGTAGCTCTTTTGTTTTGTTTTATTTTGTTTTAACAGCAAAAGTGGATACCAACCAAATGGCTATTAACAGTAGAATGAAGAAGTAACTTATGGTATGTTCATACAAAGGAAAGCTATAAAGCAGCTACAGCATACATCAAAATTGATAAATCTCAGGAATAAAATATTTAGGGAAAAACACATTATAAAAGAATACACATAGTATTATTTACCCCTTTTATACAAATTTAAAGATAATGTGAAAATATATTATTATTAGATACATACTTCATACATTAAAGTATGAATAAAAGTAAGGAAATGAAAAATATAAAATTCATGATGGAGGTTAAAGAGAGAAAAAAAGGATTGAACAGAGATACTGAGAGCTTCAAGCTACCCCTGTACCTGTACTATTATATTCCTTACAACTTACACATTTGCTATGAACTTTTACATCAATTCAATATATAATAATAAAAAGAACTGAAAAAAATAAACTGAATATATCACTGAAGTAAATATTCTTTCTATCTTACTCAGGAGAGTAATTTTTTTTTTGTTTTTTTTTTTGAATTTTAATATTTTTTTTATTTTTTAGTTCTCGCCGGACAAACATCTTTGTTTGTATGTGGTGCTGAGGATTGAACCCGGGTCGCACGCATGCCAGGCGAGCTCGCTACCACTTGAGCCACATCCCCAGCGCAAAAGTAATTTTTTTAAAATTTTATTTTTTATTTATTTTGTGTGTGTGGTGCTGAGGATCGAACCCAGGGCCTCACACATGCTAGGCAACTGCTCTACTACTGAGCCACAACCCCAGCCCAGGAAAGTAATTTTTAATAAGTATTAAAATAGTAGGTCCAATTTGAGTCATAAGTTTTTTTAAAAAGTCTTATTTTGAGATAATCTTAAATTTACAAAAGAATTTCAAAAGCAGTACAGAGAATTTCCACATACCCTTTACCCACATTACCCTTATGTTAACATCTTAGCATAATCATAGAAAAATTAAGAAATTAACCTTGGTGTAATACTACTAACTGGAGTGGATGTGTATTTTCACTCACTGAAATTTATTTATTTATTTGTTCCAAGATCCCTTCTTGGAATTACACATTGCATTTAGTTGTTATGTCTCCTCCAACCTGTGGCTATTTTTCACTCTTTCATTGTTTTTTGTGATTTCAACACTTTTGAAGGATACTAGTTAATTGTTCTATAGAATGTAACTATTTGGATCTGTCTGATGTTCTCTTCTCAGTGAACGATAGTAGGGGATACATGCTGTTGGTACATATTCC